GTAGACTTCCGTCGCGAGTCCGACGTCAGGAAAGTCATTGACACCACTATTGAAGCCTACGGACAGTTAGACGTATTGGTCAACTGCGCCGGGTATATGGTTATGGCTAATATAATGGACCCGGATTATATTGAGAAGCAAAAGGGTATGTTTGACGTGAATCTCAATGCAGTCGTACTGTTGACACAATTAGCGGTCAAACATTTGGCGAAAACTAATGGCAATATAATTAGTATATCGAGTGTTGGGGCCATTAAACCGGTATTAAATTATTTACATGTTCTACGATAATAATCTATTATAGTATCATGATTTATGGTTTATTTATCAGGGTATAGGTATCTCGCCGGTAAGTATGTCAAAGTGTGCCATTAATATGTTCACTAAATGTATGGCACTGGAGTTGGCACCCAAAAAGATCCGGGTCAATGCAGTATGGTATGTTTAATAAATAAATATTAGAGCAAGTTTGTTATATTTATTAAAAAGTTTTATATTATTTACACTTGAAATTTAGCAAGCTAATGTACACAAAACTATTGGAATATATTATAATTAATCTTTAATTAATAAATTTCAAAAATAGCCTTGGTGCAATTCATACGCCCAGTTTTGAGACATTAAGTAATATGACCGGGGACGAACTCAAGGCATTTAAGCAACGTTTGGCGGGGAAGTACCCGATTGGTCGTATCGGTGAACCATCGGACGTGGCCAATGCCGTAGTGCACCTGGCCAGTGAGCATGCTACATTTATAACTGGCGCCTGTATGTTGGTCGATGGTGGTTACCTTAATAGTGTTTGTTTGTAAATATATTTGCACTGGATTAAATATAAACCAGAATATAGTTTTTTTGTAATGATTAGGTTTATTATAATCAAGGGTACATTTACATTATTTAATCCGGTTAAAATTAATTAAATATTAATATTGAAAAATTAAAATGTTGATTTGTATTGAGTTTAGTTATAATTGAATATTTCAAAAGCAAATATAAGTAATTAAAAGTGTTATAGTTAATAAACTAGCGTTAACCAAGTAAAATATTTTAATTGAATATTAAATATTATTGAATATAAATTAAAATTACATTTTAATTAAACTATTTATAAATCTACTTATAACCTAGTGTACTATTATATTGTAATTAAATATCAAGTGATTATTTAACAATAATCACAATTGATAACTTGATTATACTGTAACAATAGGCAATTACAATAATTGATCTTTGCCAAATATCGTAATTTTAGATTACACACGTTTCTCAACACGTACATTCATACGCTTAGGGGCGCCTATACGTAACATACGTTTATACTGCACCGGGACGTCCGTTTCCGGACAGATCGAGAACCGGTAGTTCTTAATCATATGGGCCAACCCTAGCTTAATCTCCAGCAACGAGAATCGCATACCAATGCAATTGCGAGGGCCGGCACCAAAGGGCAGGTAGGTATAGGGCAGTACCTTATGGCGGTTCTCGGGCATAAATCGATCCGGGTCAAACTTAAAAGGTTCAGGGTAAAACTCTTCGCAATGATGTATGGCGTATATCGGGATGTCTATGTTCTGACCGGCCGCCACCTTAACCCCGGTGTCGCCCAGTGTATAGTCGACGCTACATATGCGGGGCATCCGTTGGGCGGGTGAGTGCATACGCAGGGTCTCCGACACGACGGCATCCAAATAGGGTAGTCGTGCCAACACGTCGTACTCGATCTCGCCATTTGAATCAAACGCGGCGACCACCTCGTCGTGTAGGCGCTGCTGAATACCGGGGCTCCGGACCAGTTCGTACGTACAGAAGGATAGGGTGGTGGCGGACGTCTCATAACCGGCCAAGAAAAACATGAACGCCTGGGCGACGATCTCGTTTTCGGTCAGCTGTTTGGCGCCCGATTTGGGGTCGTCCCGGGTTAGGGCTTTCCGCTCGACCTCCAGTTCCTCGGCTCCTAATTTTAATGTTAATTTAAATTTTTTATTCTGCACATATTAAACATGGTAGAGTACATAGTATTTAAATACTTATACTAATCTTACTAAGTGAATTATTTTTAAATAGGTATGATTAAATTATTGGTTATTTATGCAAAATTAGTTAATTGTCTAATAAATTAAGCTAGCATAGTTTATTGGTAACTTAATGAAAGTGCTAATAATGTTATTTTGAAAATAAAAAGAAAATCTATTAAATATAAAAATATAAATATAATCTTAATACAGGTATTGTTATTAAATTTAATTAAAATTAAATTCACTGGTAGTTTTGTAAAAGTGCTTAGACATTAATAATAGTTTATTGATTATTACTAGTAATACTTGTTTTAAAATTAAACTGTATAGAAAATATACTAACCCTCATTGACATAGTGCGCTTCATTAGTATCCTGCTCATCCCTGGTCACCTTATCGGTCAACATGGCTTCCATCATCAGCTGAATAAAATCGTTATGCTTATCGCTCGGGTGGTCCCTCCTGATGGCCAATATATGTCTCGTGGTTTCAAAGAAAAATCCAATCTTACCGGTGATGGTGACCCTAAGTAGCCGTTTGACAAACGCCGGTATAAGCGTCGCAAAGTCGGCCACATGTATGCCGTTAAAGGCCTTCCGGGCGTTCACAACAAACGGGTTCAGGTCCTGAGATTTGTACACGTTGGTTTTCGTGGCAAACGCACAGGTGGCTATTACGTCCATGGTGTAGTTTTCGTACATGTCCTTTACGTCGCATACCTAGAGTTACCACACGTTTTCCAGTAATTAATTATTAATTTTTGTATCCACTAATCATAAGTTAATTATATAATTTATAAACTGTTTCACGTGACTATCGATTAATATCTGGTATTAATATAAGTACTGTAATATGAAAGCATACTAGAAGTATATATTTTGATTACACTGCTTATATTCATCTAGCAATAATTTTTATTAGTATGTTTATTAAATAAATCTAGACATTGTACATAATTATTTTTCTAATAATATTAAATTTTAAATAAATAAATTTTAAAAACATACCTTGCCACTGGTAGCATAAATATCCAGTTGGGTAAGCATGTCGGCCAGGCACTCCCTGATGAGCGGGTACATTTTGCGCATTTTGCCCGACGAGAACGTGGGCGACGTGATGGCCCTAACCCTACGCCACGCGTCGCCATTCATGTGAAACAGGGTTTTGCTGGCGATCTGGTCGGAGGCGTCCCGGATGTGGTAGCGGTCGGAAAATAGGTGAAAATCTTTAACCAGGATACTTTTGATCACTGAGGGCTCGCACACGTTTAGTATTGGTGTTTTCCCGATAAAGTGCCTGATAATATATGTAAATTTTAACATGTTAATGTTATAGTAAACTAAATATAATATTAATTAAATAAACAATTGTACGTGTACAATTAATATAGTTTTACATGATTAGTTAATAACTTTACCCGTATATTTTGCCATATTTGTTAAACCAGTTAATTTCCTGTAAGGGTTGTGGAGTTACCAGTAAATGTAGCAAGTTCCCGAAAAATGGGATTGGTGTGGGACCTTGAATGCCTTGCTTAGACCAATAATCATAACCTTTGTATAAATACCTAGATGTCATCAGATTTAATATGTTAATGTTTAGTATTATTTAATTAGTTTTATTAATATTTACGAAAAGAACCAGGTTATGATAAATGCGAGTCCATAATACAAATAGAAATAATCCATTTAATTAATTGAAGATTTAAAATAATTTTTATGTTATAAACTTCAATATGTTTTTACTGTTTCTAACAAATGTGTTTTAAAATATTGAGAAAAATATTGTTACCCTAAAAACACATTAAAAACTGTAAATTCATGTATTTGTCCGATATTTTAGATCCTGTTTACAACATTAGTCCCAAAAACTTAAATGCAAATCATTTGCTAACAAAAATATCACCCCAGTTATAAATGACAAGCATAATTTATCCTGGCAACAGTACTTGTATTTGAAACATAAACCTGTACTAAAACACTTTAAAACCTATTTTAAAATATTTTATTACAGTTTTAATTAAACTATAATTTTATAGTAATTTCTAAAAACTGTAACCAAAATGAGCGACAAGTTTGCGGATAAGTTGCAGGAAATCCGGGGAAACTTATATACAATACGATTTCCCCGTCAATCCGTTGAGTACGCGCTGGATTACCAGCCCCGACCCAGGGATCGCATTATGCTAACCTACCCTAAATCGGGCACCTGGTGGACCGAGTACATCGTATCATGCATACTAAGTGGTGGCCAATCGCCGACCAACGACTTATTTTACAGGAAATACATACTTGAATTTCACGCCCAGAAGCTGTTGGATAGGGAGGGTCCGGAACCCGCCACTGACGTGACGTTCATGAGGTCGCACATACCTCTACAGCTCCTACATTATAGTCGTTTGCGTCTCGTTTTACCTCTACTTTAAGGAGATCTTTGAAATGGAAATGGAGTTCAAAGACTACCTGCGCCTATGGCTCGCGGGAAAGGGACTCCCGTTCGGCGACTACTTTGAAACCGTGCGCCTGCAGTGGGAGCACCGGCACGACAGCGCCTGTACTGTCATTACATACGAGCAGATGTTGGCGAATCCGAGGGATAGTATCGCGAAAATCGCCTCATTTTTAGGTCCGCAATACGTGGACAGGCTGTTCGACCGGTGCCCCAGCGATGACAGCGCCGGTAGTACTAGTGGTGGTGATGGGGATCCGGAAGATTGGCCTACTTTATTGGATCAGATTATTAAGGCCTCAAGTTTTGGGGCTATGAAGGCCTCCCTTAGCAAAGGTGACCCCCATTTCCGGAAAGGCGTGTCCGGCGGCTGGAGAGAGACGTTGACTAAAGATGAGAGCGATTTGATTGATGAGAGGGTTAGGGCGGAGTGGATGGGAACGGGATTGGAGTCGCTGTGGGAACGGGAGATGAAATGGGAGTCCCGTTAAATGATTACTAAATACTTAATTATTTTAACCAAGAATTAAATTTGTAATTTATTACACAAACTACCTAGTTATACTTTCTATTAAACTATTAAATGATTAAATTTGTCGTGAAGTTGAGTCTCTCATAAGATTATTTAGACTATAATTACATTTTTTCGATTATTCATTGAACTAAATGAAAACTATATTTATGATTATTTTCCATTACTTTTGTGTTACTAATTAGTAATAACCAACGACTGGCTTAAAAGCCCTAAACTTGTAATATTGATGACTCTCTCAATGTTATAGTGGAGAGTAAATAACCATTTTGTAGTCAGTCTTGATTTTTCCTTTGAAATAAACGTGTTTTTGAATTAAACCTCGTGTTTGTTCTTAAATCCACGATCAGATCTGATCTGATTGTGAACCCGCTTTGAGTCCACAGGAGGTACGCCACTGTTTCGGAGGCAGCGGTCGGTCTGTGTATTTCGCCACTAATTGTCCCGGAGTTCGGCAAACCGGGAGTTACGGATTAGTCTCAGCTCTTCTGACCGGAAGTTACGGTACGGCAAACCGGAAGTTCTTTCGGCCAACCTTTTGGACCAGAGGTTTCAGTCTTTGGAGGCACGCATTGGTCAGAGACTCAACCCTTTGGAAACAAAGTACGAAAATGAAGTGATTATCGGGCGCTCAGTGGCAACACATCACCCCTTGACTCCTGATAAACGAGGACTTCATGAGAAATTGTCTTGCTAGAAATAAAAAATTTTTATTAGATAGTAGTGAATCTCAATAAAATTAATTATTTCGAAAAGATTAGAGTCAATTATTTGATAATCAGATATATTTTTAAATAAAAAATGAAATTACATGAACATGAACCATCTTTTTCTAATCGTTTAAAATACGATTTTTACGAATTATTTTCAACAAGGGGGGTGTATTTGAGAATCGTGTCTATTTGTTTAATTGCTTTGTTTTAGTATATCTTTTAAATTTGTATTCTAACCCATTATTGTCATATACAATATATAACCGATATTTTATTGAGCCTATTTCAGTCTTTGAATTTAAGGATTTGTAATAGGACATTTAGGACAAATTGTTTTGAAATTTATAAAAATGATTTGTAATAGGACATTCAGGACAAATTGTTTTAATATTACTGTATATATATCCATATATGGATGTATGATATTCAATAGCAGGTTGACATGCCTATACAATTCGTACAGCTATAATATAAATAAATAGCATGACATTTCAATTAGTTAGGTATTTCATGAAAAGTAATTACTGTATCATACATTAACTAACGTAGATACAATTTCTTAAATATTACACGGTTTATAAGACATTCTCAACATGGACAAACTTAGCCATGTTGTACGTGGATTAATTTTTTTAAAACCACTTGCGGGTGAACCACATTCCGCTGAATACGCACTGGACTACCAGCCCTTGCCCGGGGACCGTATGTTGAGCGCCTACCCTAAATCAGGGAACTTTTAGTTTATTAATATTGTCCTGTCACTTATGGGAGATATTCACGTCGGCCAATATATACCGAGCGATACGTATAGAAAATTATGGCTTGAACTCCGTCACCCTAATGAATTGGTGGACGACTTACCGGTGGACAGGGATGGGGAGAATTGTCGGTTCCACGTGACCCACCTTAGCATGACACACCTGGCCTATAATCCCGGTGCCAAGTATTTGTTGCTCATGCGTAATCCGCACATAGAAAAAACTTTATGATCTCTTTTTTCAAGAGCCGTTGAATTTTTTTGGTTATTTTGAAGCATTATTACATAGAAAACGATTTTTACATAGAAAAATAATTCATTATAAAAGGTTTTCTACAAATATAATCTCGACAAATTATATATCAAATAAAAATCTAATTCTTCCTCTACAAATTAGAGAAGGAATCATCAAAAAATAATTTAGGGTGTTCAGACGCCAAGCCTCCCAAATTGTATAGTTTTTTAGTAACAACTCTGTAAATAGGTATGAAAGGGTTATGAATAGGGAGTTCGATGTCAAGTATAATGAAATCGCTATGAAAACACCGGTGGGACGGGTGGGTGAGCTCAGAGACATCGCTAACGCCGTACTATACCTGTCGTCAATGGACGCCGAGTTTGTAACGGGAAGTTGCTTTGTATGC